TGGAAGAAGTGTAGAGACTACATTGTCAACGATAAAATGAACCAGAAGGTACAAGGCTTTCATGTGTCACGCACCTGCTTGCGTCTATAGCTTTTTCTTTTCCTTTGGTGAATGATTCAAAACGCAAGGCTTTGTTAGGTTTGGAATCTCTTCCGAAATGCTGAGAGTGTGAAAGAGATGGTTGTGAAACGTATCCAAGAAGAATCCCTGAGGCAAGTTTTTTGTCTACACCTTTGATGATGGATTATGAAGAACTCTTCTCTTTGCATCACAAAAGCATACAACTCAAGTAAATAATTAAATATACGTTTATATCTGTTTTTTAAAGGACATATTTACTCATGTATTCAACGGTGTATACAACAGTTTCACTCGAAAAACTCGCAACTCTGTTCGAACTTGACAAGAAACAAGTTCATAGCGTAATCAGGTATACTTCGCAGAATTTTTTCAACAATTAAATTTCGACTCCACCAACATATATAAAGTCTCAATGACGAACTGATGTTTAGCAAGATGATCATACAAGAAGAACTATCTGCGACCCTTGATGAACCCACGGATTGTCTAATGATGCATCGCGTGGAGCCTTCACGACTACAGATGATTGCTTTGAATCTTACAGACAAGCTGCAACAGCTAGCTGATAATAACGAACAAGTAACCGCTTATCCACTTTGTAAGATGAAGGAAAAGTTTGTCTACTTCAGATTTTGGAACCTCGCACTGGAAGAGCAGGATATGCTGGTCCTGGACAGTGGTTCCCAGGTCGCAGTGATAGGCAAGGAGATAAACAGAAAGGAGACAGGGGTGGTGCTTATCAAGTATGTTTTGCTCTTTTGGTTGTATCGAAGCAAGAGGTACAGGAATTCCACGAGTATCTGAGTAAAATATATTAGCACTTTTTAAAGTCTGGTACAGGAATTTCACGAGTATCTGAGTAACTATGGTAGCACTAATTAAGGTCTATGTCTGTAATTGATACTGCTATAGTAATAACATTAGATAGAAATTGGGTACCAGCGTATCACCTTTCCCAAGTTTTGAAGATGAGTGCCCATTTTATATCGTCTCAAACACGGGTTGGGAATTTCTTTGTTTCTTTAACTTCTCTATTTACTCTTTTCCTTTTCCCCTTTTACATTAGCTGTGTTTTCTTTTTTGTATATTGAAACATATTTTAATTTTATATCAACTTTTATCTTTGTTTTCAACATACCTCAAATGAGGTTCACATTCTCAGTCCATCCTTTAGATTCTGGAGTCAAATTTCAAGTCATGGGATGACTTTAGAGATTTAAGGAAAGGACTGGGAATGTGTGCGTCATCTTACTCCTTTGCCTCCCTCCATCTCCCCACCCCCTTCCTTCTCACCCCCTGTTATTGTGAATTGTGGACAGCCATCTGCCTGCAAATCAAGCAGTCGACGCTGCTCGCTAGGCGTGTAATTAGTTGTTATTGTCACAGCAAGTGAAGTGGAGCGCTCACTCAATTATGAACAATTAGCATCTGCCAATTTGAATGTTGCTTGTTTATTCTGAAGTACCTATCGCTGAACAGAAATTGTTTTATCAACTAATCTTTTACGTAGGAAGGAGTTTGTATCAAAGTGAAATTGTTTGAAAACGAAGTCTTTTGTAAGACGTTCTATGTTTATTTGTGATTTTTTTCACGAGAAAATAATTCTTTATTTATTTTGCTGAAGTTTACTACCTATCATTCTATCATCCTTGTTTTTTTTT